GATGAACAAAAAGTATTAAAACTAGAGGTTGTGTGTCCGTCACAACGTCATAACATATGACTTTTTTTCCTTTTTTTGTTCTGAAGAAAAGTGCCTTATTGGCATGTCACCAATTGTTTTAATATATCCATATTCATACATGTACACTTACATATAGGTTTTAACCAAAACAGACATGCACTTCAGGAGATATAATGCTTTGAAGTCTGTACCTTTCATATCACATGACTTGTCACCTGATGAGGTCATCATCAAATCAGATCAACTTTGTCCATAACACTTCTCTTTCTAGATACATGTATCTGCAAGGCTTGAACCCAATTGCACATGCACTTCGGGAAATACATGTATAGTGCATTGAAGAGGGCACCTTTAATGCCACATGACTTTTTACTTGATGATGTCATCGTCACATCAAGGCAATACTCATCTAAACCACACCCCTATCAAGATATCTGCAAGGTTTGAATCTAGTGGGATGTGCACTTCTGCAGATACAGTGCTTCAAATGAAGAGTGCACCTTTAATGTCATATGTCTCCTGTTGACATCATCAAAATATCAATATTCGTCTACAACACTCCTCTTTCTTCTAGGTATCTGCAAAGTTTCATCCCAATAGGACATGTACTATAGGAGATATAGGGCTTTAAGAGTGCACCTTTAAATATCTCGTGACTTGTCTCGTGATGACGTCATCATCACATGCGATGAAGTTTTGTCTGTAACACTTCCCTTTCTACATGTAGATACCTGCAAGGTTTCAACCAAATCTGATTTATACTTCAGAAGATATGGAGATTTGAAGTTTACAGCTTTAATGTCATGTCACGTGACACCCGATGTCATTACAGTGACGTTTGTGTTTCCAACACCCTTTTGGGCTGATGGACTGAATATGCACTTAATAAAAAATTAGTCAGATGGATGAAATCCTGTATCTTTGACATTAAAAAGACATGCATAAAAGCTACGGAAAAACTGTACCTTTAAGTTTGTGTCATGTGACATACATTTGATTGAAACTTTTTGCAAAATATCGCTTGATATTTTGAATCATGGGTATCTTTGTAATCGAATGAAGCCGAAAAAAAAAAAAAAGGATTTCTCTTTTATTCACATAGTCCTCAGCTGAAGTTGAGAGCTACCCAACCAGTAAGATCGATAAGAGTGTGTAGAAGAGAAACGTGTACAAAACCTATGAGGAAATTTAATGTCATATCACGTGACCCCTAAAGATTTTCTTATGACAGTCTTGTTCTGGGACCCTCTCTATGTGGTGGACTGAGAGTATGCACCAATATAAAGTATGTCAGATTGTTAGATCTGGCTGTTGAAAAACATGTACAAAGCCTATGGGGAAAAATTTCTCGTAAATATTCTAAATTCCATAGTAAATCATGTGATGATGTCATTATGACGTCATAAATGTAGTGTCATTTTTTTATCAAGGTCTGTTGTCTGTACCTTTGATGACGATTGAAGATTCCTAAGTAACAAAAGTGGTGCCTTGAAAACGTGTACAAAAGTATATGGGCTGAAATAAATATTACAAATTCAATAATAAGTCACTTAATGACGTCACCACAACGTCATTGTTCTAAGACCATTTATGCACAAGGGTCCATCATCCATGTAAGGTTTCTGGTCAAAATTGACTCTCCGATTCGCAGACTATGCAGCCTTTGTAGACAAAATTTAGTCTCTAGCAACATTCAGGATCAGCACTCCAACAGCTAATTTACATAGAATAACAATGTGTAATTGATGTGATATATTGTCCCCCTCTCCTCGCTCTCTGTGAGCTCCGTGGAGTTTGCCTTTCGCGATTAGTCTCACACATTTCAAAGTGCCCAAATCCAGGCCTGATAGAAGGGTTTCATTTTGATATTTATAATTGTTATGCTAATTTTTCCTACTTGGAGGCTCTGTGGAGTTGTTTGGGGGCTAGTCACATACAGGCACAGTTTGAAAAAGGCTTACATTTAAATTGCAGTTGAGCTCACGTGTACATCCGAGCACGCTTTCTTGGGCCAATTGCCAAATGGCATGTGCATCTGCAGGCGTTGGGGTGTGCCACCATTTTATCTTTTGACAGTTTTGACAAAAGTAGGCCTATATGAGCAGTACACCTCTACGGAATTGCGAACAAAATTGAGGATAAACCTCTGTATAATGTAATACAGATAGTCATGTAGACCTCCTGGCTTTACTCTTTTCACAGAGTGATGAAAAATTTATGAATGAATCACTTTTCATATATTTGATATCTAACTTCTCAATCGGCTGCACAAAAGTGACTCAAAACATGTGACAAAACAGATACCATTTTCAAAAGCATTTGTCTCGGAATGTCCATTGTGGGGGTGTCACTTCACGAAAACACCTTTGTGGCAAATCATGCAATGTAAAGAGAACATTAACACTGTCACAAGTAAGCCTGTTCAATATGACAATATTTCACGATATTTCAATATGATGTTGATATCAGATATCGTATCGTTCGTAAAAACATGTATCGAGATATTGTGTGAATCGATATGCCGAAAATAAGCTCCAAACGATGTACTGTACACGCACATAAGGATGTCAGTGCACTGCGTGTTGAGCCCTGCATTTAGGCCATACCAATACTCCACTGAAAACCTCAAACCACAAAGCCACTGTTGGCCCCAAGCAGCTGCAAGGGTCTTACAAGTATTAAGGGGTCGATCCAAACCAACATACAGTACGCACAATATATTAGTATTGTACAGTAAACTTCAGCTAAGTCGGCTCTCTCGCTCGGGACTCAAGATCGTCATACCGCACACGGAAATGTATGTGCGCAATGGTTAAGTTCGTTTAATAAGGCGACCCCCAAAATGGACAGAGCACATGCGTGTAGCACTAGAGGGGTCCCTGGTATGAATGTGCTCAACAACGTGCTGTCAATAAACAGACATCAGTCAAGCAGTGTAGGGCTTGTCACTTGACGCTTCTTGGCAACCATGGCAAAGGAAACTGATACCGAAGCTGACTTATATGAAGGATTTTTTGTGGTCTTGTAGAAAAGGGACCAATTGAAACATGCAGATCTACGAGAAATGAATGACGACTTAGAAATGCCGCCTTAGAAATGAGGTGAGGGCATCAATACCAGTAGCCCCTCTGGTAATACACATGTGCTCTGTTCATTTTGGGGTTGCGTTATTGAACCTTACCGCTGATATGTGTGTGGAAATGGCTTTTTCCGTACGGTGCCAGGATATGATAATTTGATGTCCACAATTTCCATGTTGAAATTTGCTTTCCATCAGCATTAGATTTCTAAATATAGAGATAATATATATACATCGGTTTTTTAATGTGGCTTTCAAGACATAGTGGTGATTTCGGTCGTGTTTATTTTATGAATGGAAAATGACGTCATCGCAATGATATCAGATATTGCGATATTTTTTCATGATGTGATTTAAAAAGAAATGAACATGTATATCAAACAGGCTTCGTTATGAGATGAATGTGTGGAGGGATCTGCAGCATTTTGATGCCGACAGTCGGCAAAGTTGAGGCAAACTTTACAATCACTGGTGTTTGCGTGATGGTGGGGTTTACCAGTCACACTACCGGTATATCTGGTGTTTTGTATGTGGATTGCCGTGTTCAGCATCTTTTTTTGCCAATATATATTCAATGTACAATTATGGGTACTCTCCTGTCCAGGGGACAGTTTTGGATCATTTGCGGTATACCCACTTACATAATACGGGTTTGCGGCTTTGACCCTTGTCCCCATGTTTCATGTTAATTCTAAACAGTGAATTTACTGGGTTTGTTAAGTCTTGCCGAGTCACACCCAATTTGAAAGTGGGGCTGATCCAGGCCTTGCAGACTGTTTTCTACAGACTATACCTAATTGTTATGCAAATTAGTTTTGCTTTCTGAGTGCTTTTTGCAAACCAGCACACCCTAATGGTGAAAGTGTCCAGTAGCTACCGCGTGCAAATGCCACTGCATATCCGGTACTTGAATAGAGCCTGAAAGTTGACCCTTTATGGCACGTTTCCAAAACCATTGGATTGAAAAAAATTGCATGCAAAAATTTTACAATTTACAGTAGTTTCTGGCTCGGGTACTTCTTAAAAACAGCAATAAGACCCTTTGTAAAATATTTGCTAGCATATAAATTTATGGAAACTGAAAAATTTACTGATTGGTACCCAAAAGAGAAATATCCTGCCAAAAAATGACCTATCATTTCTGAAAATCTGAAATACATGAAGAGCTGTGTATTTGGTAGTCTTGCATACATACATAGTAACAGAATCATACTTTAGGATTGTCTTTCAAAAAAAAAATTACAAAATGGACCAAAACATTTTAAGGATTTGTTAATTTATGAGGAAAAAAATTAAAGCAATAACCCACCTTTATGAAAGATTATGAAGTATAATCCAAGGCTTGTTGACAGGAATTGCGTCAGATCAACTCAACTGAATGTATTACCCATCGATTGGAGCTAAATAAATCTTAGCAATGTTGTACAATCTTGTTTCAATGTAAGCACAGCAAAGAAAACAAATGTGCATGAAGAAGAACTACCGGTAGGAAGGATAATGCCAGAAGTGAAAGGTCATAATGAAATTTGTTTCACCCGTCTCCAGATGGCCTTTCCTAAAAACTACTGAAGGAGGATGAAGGGGAAAGTTTTGAAATGAGTGTCTGTTGGGATGGTTACAGTTAGAATCATTCTTTCCGAAGATTCCAACGTCTGGACTGTCTATGTAAAATTCCCATCAACAGAAGGCGCAAGGGTTCTTGAAGATTACTGGGTGGCCTTTTACTTTCAGGTTTTCTGTTTAGTGTTGCCAACCATCAGTTTTTCCCTTATCTTGAGAGTTTAAGTATATTGAATATTTATTTTGAATATTTACTTTTGCTTGAAGGCCGATTGTTTCAGCATACTGTTAATTTTTTTATTTGTTGATAAGAGTTGATCAAATGTACATCGACAGCAGGTTTCCAAGTGGTTGTTATGCCATTTTACTTTACTCAAGATCATAAACACAAGGGAAAATGTCGGGAAGTGACCCAATTTTGCATGGTACAGCTGTATGGATTTGCAAACAAAACTGAACCTAAATACTTTCCTGCTCGTTGAAATGTAACAAAGTTTAACATTTTATTTCATGGGCAATTTTCACGAAGTGCCAAAAGTGAGACTAGTGTAATAGGAAAAATCACTAAGACATCCAAGTATGCAAAACATGCAACAAAAAGGAAACTTTTTCCAAACGTGTTTAAGCCTATGTCAAATTATTCATTTGGGGGAGTGTTTAATACTCCAAGAAAACCCCACTACTTGGTTGAACTGAAAAAGCTGATGTTTGCATAATGGCTGATTACTGATTGTCGGTCATAATGGGTTCTGCAGTTTTACCCCATGACTGCCATTTTGGTGGAGATAAAAAACCCCACTATCAACTTAGTTACCTCTGCAGCCATTTGATCATGCTTCGTTCCTGACAAGTCACCCAATAATAAAAACGAACCCGTCCCGCCCGGTCCTTTGGATAAGTTTCATTGGTCTACGTACACTTGACAAGCCACCGGCACCCAGTTCCCACTGTCCTGTCTTGGCCTAGCTGCCGATTGCTATGCTGGAGATCTTAATATATCCACAAAAAAGGCCAAACAAAATAATGTGCATGACATGAAATTAGGATCTGTATAATGACTGGTGCCAGACCCAGATTGACTAGGCTCCCAAATCACTTTAGAAAATGATTACGCTACCAAAAAAAGGTAATGGGAGTTTCAGTGCAGTGGTTTTTCAGATAGTGCTGAAAATTTGAAAACTTCAGGTCGAATACAGGGCAAAACGGCCAAATGAATGTACATGGATGACCTTATGGGTTGCTTTTTTGAATACGGTACCCATGCTACCAATTGCAATTCCCTATTCAAAATCCAACATTATTGTGCATGTGCGTGAATGGCTTTCGTCTTGAACATGGTAGCAATAATTACTTGTACACTGCATTGTGAAGGTTTTCATACAAGAATTACAAAAAATTATAAGAGCTGTTTCATCAAAAAACCACACAAAATCATTCTATGAAGGCCCCTGTTTTAATTACCAGTGGACAAAACAATAAACAATTTTCAGAAATAAACAATTTCAAAGCTCCAAGTGAGACTTGTCAATTATTGCATAATAAACACCCTACTTATTAGGTCAGGACCTAAACATAATAACCATGACTGATAGCTTCCAAGTAGTTGTCTAATTATTTAACAATTATGCTGATTGGCTTTAATTAGACAAGCACCAGTTTCTGAAAGGACACTCAAAGTTGCAATGAAAAACACAAATATTTCTTTGTGGGATCTTTTCAGCAAATATACCACTAAAAAAATACAGACACAAAATTCCATTTCTGATTCATTTCCCTGGTGAGTTTTAGCTGCTGTTGAATTTTCCTCTGCTTTGTTCTGCCATCACGGTGTTGTTTTTCTTCACTCTTGTCTGGTATATTTCCAGCATTTCTGCAGCAAATTAAACAAATTTGGCAAAAATGTTTTCTTATTTTCGAAGACCAGAAATCTGCATGTATATGCAAAAGTAGCTCTTCGAGCAAAGTTTTACACTGTGGCGATTCTTCCATGGGTTTTACCAAATGAGAACGATGAGATGGGGACGACTTCGAATTTTGGGGTGAATCTCCGACATTTACATGATGATTTCACTTCCCCAGATTTCTGTCTTTCAATTTCACTTTTATGAGATTTCCCTTTTTAGAATCCTCACATCATCAAATCATTGGACTTCGAAAAGGATGAAATGCTGGTACCAGGCAGTATCAATGCTGCACGACGCTTGACAGACATGCATGCCATTGGTACAATGCGTACACGTACCCTGTATGTACGTGAACACAGGCTTTCACAATACAAGATGGCACCTCTCATGTAATGAGACCTTTCCGTGCACTGTGTGCAACCACACTCGGTGAATTGGCTAAAGATGTACCTTGTTCTCTGACTAAGAACTGGCATTTTAGTCTCGGAAAACGGTGTTGAACGATGTTGAACTGGTCCCCCCTTAGCAATGGACAGATTTCTATATAAATCTGCATATAGTCCATGTGTTTTTTTTACAAGAACCCTGAGTTTGATGAAGATTGAAAGTTGCAAAAGGATTAAAGTCAAATAGGCTTTGGGGCAGAAACATTTCAACACAATCAGACATGCACTTCAGGTTATAAAGCGCTTTAACGATTGTACCGTTAAGGTCACTTGACTTTTCACATCACGAGGTCATCTTCACATGAGGTTAATTTTTGTCTAAAACTTCTCCTGTAAATATTCCTTCCTAGTTATTTGCAAAGTTTCAGCTCGATGAGACATGTACTTCAGGAGATAAAGGGCCTAAGCAGTACACCTTTTATGTCAGGTTTCTTGTCTCCTGGAGATGTCATCAACACATCATCTATGACACTTCCCTTTCAAGATACGGTATCTGCAAGGTTTGAACCCAGTCAGAAATGCAGTTCAGGAGACATAGTGCTTTGACGAGTGCACCTTTAATATCACGTGACTTGTTACCTGTTGACGTTATCATCACATCATGTCAATTTTTAACTACAGCACATCCCTTTCTAGATATCTGCAAGGTTTGAACCCAATTGTACATGTACTTCAGGAAAGTGCGTTGAAGAGTGAACATTTAATGTCACGTGACTTTTCACTTGATGATGTCATCATCACATCAGGTCAATATTTGTCTAAATCACTTCCCTGTCAAGATATCTGAAAGGTTTAAATCCAATCGGATGTGCATTTTCAGAGATACAGTGCTTAAAGTGCTCCTTTAATGTCATGTGACTTGTCACATGATGGCATCATCATCACGTGATGTCATTTGTTTGTCTTTTACACTTTGCTTTATAGACATCTGCCAGGTTTCAACTGAATCAGACGTGTACTTCAGGAGATATAATGCGTTGAAGAGTGCACCTCTAACGTCACATGATTTGTCCCTTGGAGTACACTGTACATGTAAATGATTGTCTGTAACATCCTCCCTAGCTACCTGCAAGGTTTCAACCCAATGGATATGTAAAACTCAAGTGAACATTGTGTTCATTGAAAAAAAGCACGGAATAGGTTTTATTGGATTTAAAACATTTTGGTCTTTTGGTATTCCATACCAAGTGATCTTACTTCAGCGCCATTTCACTGCCAAGTATGCCTATGCACTGTGCAATGTTTCCATTACAGGTAGATTTAACTTGGTCACCCACATAGAAGTATACATGTATACACAGTGTATATGTACAAATGGGATTTTGTATATATACACTGTTTTTGTCATCGGCACCTCATCTGTGTGAACAAGTAAGCCAGTTATGCACTTGGTGCAAACAACTACAATGTTTAAGCTATCAGCTAATGGGCAATTCACACTTAGCTCGCACGGTTGATTTTTTAGGAAATTTTGAAGAATAAAATGACTCTTTTCATTATAACTTCCAGTCTGATGATGTCATTGGGCCCAACTTTCACAGATATGTTAATTGGCTTAAGATTATCATCCATCATCTTAAGATCATTTGACTCGGATCGG